TGCTCTTTCTCTTGACTATAAGCAGCAAAGGCTGCAGTAAAGGAAGCAATAAACTCTGTAATGGTAAAGTGCATTCTTGGGCAGACAAAGGAAAACAGAGGGATTTAGGAATGTCTCCCTTTCATAAATCAGATTGATCAATGGTGTGCTGGTTGTTCTGGTGCTAGAAACAAAATGTGAAGAGCACTGCTTGCACTGGTAGTTGCTGTGGCTTCAAGCTGAGCAGACTCTGCTTTGATAAAGGTCCCATATTTAGTGCCTCTGATGGCCCTGGATATATTTTCTGCTCAGGTCCTCAAAGCTCCAGGTGGTGGTCACATTTCTGGTTTCTTCTGAAGCAAAATCCTTCTAGACACATCTGATTGGGAGCAATGTTTTCTTAGGAGAAATGAGTCCCAGAGGAAAGTTCACACTAACACGTACATGTTGGGTATTAGTCTAGATCTGAGAACATAAATGTCCCAGGGATTTCATGTCTTGGTTTAGTTTTGTCTTCAGAAACTGAAATAAAGTATATCTCGCAGTTATTGGGATGTGAAACCAGGTCCAAGTTTTGCTGTATATCTATTGTCAAAAGAGGTTTTAGGTGGAGTCCCACTGTCTGCTGGGCTATCTGCTAGGTAGTGAAATAATAACTGATACATTTTTTAAAGCATTTTGTTACATGAAGTCAATATGAAATCAGTAATTGCTCATTTTCCCTCTAAGCATCACCATCAGGAGCAGGAGACCTGTGCAAAGCAGGACCTGTTTCTTTTGCTAAATGCTCAACTTTATTCCTACACAAACAGGTCTCACCCAAGCCAGCAGCACAGCAGCAGCTTTTGCTTCCCCCCTGGTGCCTGTCACTGGCATAAGATGGAGAGAGCCACCAGCATCCCCCAGCTTTGTGCAGCAGCTCCTGCCTGGAGCACGACCGAGGAGCTGGGTTAGTGCAGGGGGGGCTGATAAAGAGCCAGGGAAGGGACACCATCCTAGCTGAATAGGTTATCACTGTGGCCTGGGTTTTAATCCACAAGAGTAGAGGTTTGCTGGCTTTAGTTACACTTCCAGTGGATGGATTACACACCTGGTGGCAGCTCTCGTTGGACAGGTAATCATTGATACTTCCCTGCTCGGTCACAAATGGGTGTAAGAGCCAAGAGGTACCCAAAGGTCCAGAGAAGGAAAGAAATGCCCTCTTAGACAGACCTGATATATATTCAGTGCCGAGAACTTTTGTTCTATAATGGTTTAGTGTATTCTTACTTTTCTGCTGATGTCCTGGGTGCAAGTTGCTCCTGGACCTTTTAGCCCCATCATGGGTTGTCCAGCTTTTCTAACTCTGGGAGCTTGGGGGAAATCTCGGGCTCTAGAGCAAGCAGGAGCAATTTGAGGAGATCCCCATGGCACGGCCCATGTCCTACAGTCATCAGAAGATGGCAGCAGATGTGGCCTCCTTGGCAGGAACTCAGTGGTGAGTAACAGTGGGGCCTCGATGAGTGCAGGTCACACCAGTTTGGTTCTCACCCTCTGGTGGGTCATGAGAAGTGTACTCAGCTGGTGCCTGTGCTGACCCAGGCACGGCAGGGCAATGGTGCTGCAAACGGCCTCTCACTCACTGTGGGTGCTTAGCTTCCTTCCAAGCCTCTGTCAAACAGTATCAGAAACCTCTGGTCTGACCTCCTCCTTTTGGAATATTTATTAGTGTAGAACCACTATAGACAGAGTCCAAGTGTTACGAGGAGCAGCAGCAGTAGACGACTGTTCCTAGTGTGCAGTCCTTCTGTTTTTAAAGCACCAGAGTAATTAGCTCTTTTCGTCCTTGTTTGATTGCAATAATATTCCAATGTAACCATCACCTGATGAACTTTTCAAGAGGTAAGGGCTGTACTGCCCTTGGGGCAGTTCCACATCTGTCTGGAGTTATTCCTCCTGCACTAGCATAGTGAGATTTAAGGTAATATTGGCTAGAGGAGTTTGCTGTGTTGTAACTCTCAAACAAACTTGTGTCAGGGAATGTAAGTGGGTGGAAACAGTCTGTGTGGACAGGCCGTGTCCTGCGCTGGATTGCGTTCCAGCGCCACAAGGGGAATGTGGCAGGGAGGTCTACAGTTCCCTGCTGCAGCCACCAGCACTCAGGCTGAAAGCAGTTTAGGATGTGCCTTTTGCTTCATTAAGCAAAAGGCTTTATGCCCGTGGAGTGCTGTAAAACAGTGAAGTGTTGTTAGTCAGGATTGCAAACCTCAAACATCTACAATCACAAGTCAGATATTCAGCATCAAATCTGTCCTGAAATTAGAGGTTTGTTCTTTAAAACTCTTTGTTTCATTTTTGCTTCTTAAGCTTCATTTATTTTTAAGTGAAAGCTGAGATCTTCACTGAAAGTTGAGATCCCACCCTGGCTTCAGGGCTTTAACAAAACCAGCAGATTACCAAAAAAACTTACCAAAAGGTCCTGAAAGTTCTTAACAGTGAGTCAAGGATCTTTTGCAGAAACTGTGTTGTTGCCAGCAGGACTCTGTTGACAGGGCCCAGCAGGCAGTGCTGGGGGATTCCTCCAGCATTCACTGCCTCGTGTGGTCTGCACCTTCCAAAGACGTGTGGGTGCTGATGCTGTCCCTGAAGGGAATGTGTCCGACAGTGGTGTCCGAGGTGTTCTCCCCACTCTGCTGCAGTGACAGGCTGTAGCTGTGGGATTTTGAACTGACATCCTGCTAGCAAACAGGGAAAGTGGAGCATTTCTGTTCCTAGGCACTTCCACAGAGCCAGAGGAGCAGTGCCAGAGCATAGCCATGGGCGTTTTTTAGGATCCTTTCTTTGGTCATTGTTTCTACCAACCTGCACTTCAGCCCCAGAGAGGGCAAACTACAGAGCTCACACTCTGCAGAGACTAAGATCAAGAATTTGAATAGTTGTGTATGATTTTTAATGGAAAACTCAAGTTTGCTGGTTTGGAAAGCAGGTGCGCCTGGTCAGAGAGGTGAGCTGCGAATCTGACTCTGTCCTGTCTGCCTGTCTTGAACTCAGCTGAGAACTTTCTCTGCTGTGCATCCCTGGAAGAAACACCAGTTCTGGAAATAAGGTTTCAGCACCATAAACACTTGTGGTTTGCTGCTGACATTTGGTGTTGGCAGCTCTCAGCCCCTGCAGCTTACACCTGGCTGGCACCATCCTTCCCACACAGCCAGTCCAGTGGAAGTGGCCTTGGCTCCCCAGAGTGCTCCAAGTGGCTAAGCTTCAGGAACTCTGCCCTGCAAGTATAAACTGCTCTTGGGTCATCATTTCAAGCATTATTTAGTTGTTTCAAGGATCCTGTTGGTTGCAGAGGAATGGTGAGTGGTGCAGTGGTCTGGAACCGTGTCGTTACTGCTGCAGGTGATGCTCGGGGTGCTGGGGGTGAGAGTTGCACTGTTGCACTCTGAGGTCTGGCAGTTCACCTGGAGGCTCAGCGTGCCTGAAGCCTCCTGATGTCTGCAGGATGTGTCACTGTTCATAGTTCCTTCTTCCAACTCCAGGGGAAACATTTGCAGTCAGAAACAATGCCTGGAAATGTTTACTACTGTCAGATTGAAGGAGGGGAAAGATACAGATGTAAAGATGTTGTGTGCATTAATTATTTTGCAATTGAGAATGGATAAAAGTAATCCCAGTGCAAACTGGGCAGGACTGTCAAGGGAAGCCTTGGCTCTGCAGTTTGGGTAACACTAACCTGTCCAGCCTTTCTCCACATAATATGGAGGACTGATCCCAGCACGAGGAAGCACATTTGGGTTTTCTTCTCTAAAACAGATTTTAAAGTCATGCAGCTCTTGAAAGGAGACTAATTGTGCTCACTTAGCTTCAAGCAAATCATTAAACTTTGAGGAGTTATTTTTTTCCTGGTTCCTCTGTGATGTTTCTTACTTATTAATTCTTAGATACTCGATTTTTAGACATCAATTTTTATCACCAATCAGGCTCTGCTTCTGTTGTCTGAAAAATCAGATATGTAAAGGAAAAACCTCCACAGATTTAAATGCATTGCATTGTTACAGTATAAATATCATCATTGTAATTAAACCACTTGAAAATATGAACCAGCAACTTTTTCTCTTGGGGCCTCACCCACCTATGGGGCTTTTGTGCCTGGAGATGCAGGGTGCTTTGCTTCTCCTGATTCTCCTGATTGTTCTGGAAATAAAATCAGCTGTTAGTGCTTTCAAATCTGTTGTCTTTATCTGCTGCTAAATATACACGTAATAAGTGCTATGGGATCAAAACTAACCCAAGTTGCTTTTCCTGCACTTGTAGTTTTGTGGTTTTGATGTGATTTTCGGTTTCGCAGGAGTTGATAACATGATCTTTAGTGTATTTGGGGTCATGGTGGATTAAGGTAGATCCCTTTGGCCTGGACTCAGAACCTGCAGCATGTCTTCAGAGGAAA